TCTGAATAGACCAATCACAAGTAAAAAGATTGAAACGGTAATGAGAAACCTCCCAAAAAATAAAAGTCCAGGGCCAGATGGCTTCTCTGGAGACTTTTACCAATCATTCAAAGAAGATTTAATACCTATCCTTCTCAAACTATTCCAAAAAATAGAGGAAGATGAACACTTCCTAGCACATTCTATGAGGCCAACATCACTCTGATACCAAAGCCAGACAAGGACAACACAAAGAAGGAAAATTACAGGCCAATATTGCTGATGAACATCGATGCAAAAATCCTCAACAAAATATTGGCAAATCGAATACTGCAATACATTAAAAAGATCATACACCATGATCAAGTGGGATTTATACCACGGACACAGGGATGGTTCAACATCTGAAAATCAATCAGTGTGAACACCACATTAACAGCATGAGGAATAAAAACCACACAATCATCTCAATAGATGCAGAGAAAGCATTTGACAAGATCCAACAACAATTTATGATAAAAAAACTTTTCACTAAATGTGTATATAAGGAAAGTACCTTAACATAATAAAGGCCATATATGACAAACCCACAGCCAACATCATAATCAACAGGGAAAAACTGAAAGCCATTCCTCTGAGAACAGGAGCAACACAAGGGTACCTGCTCTTGCCACTCTTATTCAGCATAGTACTGGAGGTTTTGGCCAGAGCAATTAGGCAAGCAAAAGGAATAAAAGGAATCCAAATAGGCAACAAAGAAGTGAAACTTTTGCTCTTTGCAGATGACACGATTTTATATATAGAAAATCCTAAAGAACCCATTGGAAAACTATTAGAAATAATCAACAACTACAGCAAAGTTGCAGGGTACAAAACCAACTTACAAAAATCAGTTGCATTTCTATACTCTAATAACGAACTAACAGAAAGAGAAATCAAGAAGACAATCCCATTTACAATTGCAACAAAAATAATAAAATATCTAGGAATAAATTTAACCAAGGAGGTGAAAGACCTATACAATGGAAAGTATAAGACATTATTGAAAGAAATCAATGATGACATAAAGAAATGGAAACATATCCCATGCACATGGATTGGAAGAATAAATATAGTTAAAATATCCACACTACCTAAAGCAATCTACAGATTCAATGCAATCCCAATCACAACCCTGATGACATTCTTCACAGAAATAGAACAAAGAATACTAAAATTCATATGGAGCAACAAAAGACCCCAAACAGCTAAAGCAGTCCTGAGAAAAAAGAACAAATCTGGAGGCATCACAATCCCTGACTTGAAAATATACTACGGAGCTATAATAATTGAAACACCATGGTACTGGTACAAAAACTAACACACAGACCAATGGAACAGAATTGAAACCCCAGAAATAAAACCACACATCTACAGACAGCTAATCTTCAACAAAGGAGCTAAGAACATACTATGGAGAAAGGAAAGTCTCTTCAATAAACAGTGCTGGGAAAACTGGATAGCCACATGTAAAAGAAGGTAAGTAGACTATTTTCTTTTGCCATACACAAAAATTAATTCAAAATGGATCAAAGACTTGAAGGTGAGACCTGAAACTATAAAACTCCTGGAAGAAAACATAGGCAATACACACTGACATTGGTCATAGAGAGATCTTTTCGAATTCCACATCTACTTGGACAAGGGAAACAAAATTAAAAAAATAAACAAGTGGGACTTCATAAGACTAAAGAGCTTCTGCAAGGCAAATGAAACCAGGATCAAAATGAAAAGACAACCCACTAGCTGGGAGAAAATATTTGCAAATCACATATCCAACAAGGGGTTAATCTCCATAATATATAAAGAACTCACACAACTGAACAACAAAAACCAAACAACCTGATCAAACAATGGGCAGAGGATATGAACAGACATTTTTCCAAGGAAGATCCACAGATGGCCAATAGGCATTTGAAAAGATGTTCATCACCACTAATCACCAGGGAAATGCAAATCAAAACTACACTAAGATATCACCTTATACCCGTTAGAACGGCTATAATCTCCAAGATAAAAAATAACAAATGTTGGAGAGGTTGTGGAGAAATGGGAACCCTAATTCACTGCTGGTGGGAATGCAAACTGCTGAAGCATCTATGGAAAACTGTATGGAGATTCCTCAAAAAATTAAAAATAGAAATACCTTATGATCCAGCTATCCCACTACTGGATATTTACCCAAAGAACCTGAAATCAACAATCCAAAGAGGCTTATGCACCACTATGTGCATTGCAGCATTATTCACTATAGCCAAGAAGTGGAAGCAACCCAAGTGTCCCTCAACTGATGACTGGAAAAAGAAAATGTGGTATATATATACAATGGAATACTACTCAGCCATGAAGAAAGATAAAATCGTCCCATTTGCAACAACATGGATGGACCTGCAGGGTATTGTGTTAAGCGAAATAAGCCAGACAGAGAAAGACAGACGCCGCAAGATTTCACTCATATGTGGAAGATTAACACACAGAGAGAACAGTTTGGTGGTTATCAGGGGGAAGGGGGTTGAGGGGTAGGCACAAAGGGTGAAGAGATGCATTTATATGGTGACTGACAAATAATAATGTACAACTGAAATTTCACAATGTTATAAACTATTATGACATCAATTAAAAAATACTTCATCAAAAAAAGACATGCTTACCTTTAAAATATTTTAAATCTCTTTACATATGTATTTATATATAAGTGCAAAGTAAAAGTAACTGTTCTATTTAAAAATTAATATCTATTTACCAGCACAATCGGGCAAAGTTGTCCATTCTCCATTGATACATTGTATTTTCTTAGGCCCCGTCATTAGAGACTTGGGATTGCAATCAAATTCCACCATTTCACCATGTCCACATTCTTCTTTCCTTTTCTTCTTAATTTTACCATCGGGGAGTTGAGGAGGTTGACCACACTATTTTACTTGCCCTACCATAAAGAAACTGTGTAAATGATGCTTAAATAGTCTCATAATTATAAATCTGGCAAAATGTGGAGTTACTATTTTGGTTGACCTAGAACTAAATTACATTTATACTACATTTTTATTTTTTTCAGGTTTGTTTTTTCAGTGTACACAGTGTAATGATTATTCTTTTTCTCAAATATTGACTTTTTATTATGAACAATTCTGAACAAATTAAAGAAGAAAAATATTTAATGAACACATACACTGATCACCTAGATATAGGAACGTGACATTTTGCCCAATTTGCTTTACTTTTTTTTTGTGAACTAACTTAAAGTAAATGACAGACATAGTGAGATTTTACTTCTAAATTCTTCAAAATGCCTGTCTAGGAAAAGGACATTTACATAAATATATAAAACATCTTATTACATTTCTTCAAATTAACAATAAATTTTTGGTACAGTCTTATATTCTTTCTATATCCAAATATCCTGATTGCCTCTACCCCAATACCGTGCAGGTCATTTATTATAACCAGGATATTAAGTTGTCCCCTTGAAGATTTTAAAGTAGGTCAACAATCTGATTATTATATAAAACTAAGTATTTATAAAAAATGTTGTATGATATGCACATATAGTTATAGTTTTTGTTAATTAATATCTATAAATACATAAAATATTTGATCAAAAAATTTGGTGAAAATAATGTCATCTGAAGCAAGTAACAAATCATCATTGTTTTATGTTGAATAATCCATATGTATAACTATTTTACTATTTTATTAATTACTTAATACAAGATAATAAGACCCATACAGTATTTTTTAAAGTATAATATTTTTTATTGAGCCTAGGGGGAAAAATTCTAACACTTCTCAATCCCAGCTACTATATTTTGATTTATAAAATCCCATTACATATTTTAAAACACAGAGATACAATTACCCCTTGATAAAGGAAATTTAAATACTCTATACAACTCAGTTACTATGGCTAAGCATCTCTCCTTCTTTCCAGTTAAAATACCACTTTTACCATTTTTTTTGCAGTTTGTCAGATTATGGATACAAGATACAACAAAATACATAGACCTTAATATAAAATAATATAAATTAATATAAATTGTTTCTTCACTTCTAAACTAAATATTGACCTTTGCATGTTGGAAAATTAGGTGACCATCCAAATTGGTAGCATTGAGCTCAGTCTGGCCCAACTCTTATAAGTCTTTCACTGAAGGAATATTTCAACAGATCTCCAACTGTGTATTTTTTACGTTTTGGATGAGCATCTACATTTGCTTCTGAAAATGGAAGAGGACATTCTATTTCTAAAAATAAAATTAAAGTAAATGGATATGTGTGAAATAACCATTGCAAAAATAGGTTTAATATACGCTATATGAAAACAACATTCATGGGGCTTCACATACAGAGGGACATATATTCTTGCCTTCAAAAAAAATAGTAATTATTTACCCTCAACAAATACGTGCAAGACCCTTTAGGGAAATTAGGATATTGAGCAGCAAGGTAAAATTCTGTATGACAGTCTCTTCAGGATCATAATACGTAAGTCCTGAGAAGTTACTTGTAAAATAAACTATTTAATTTGTTTAACAATAAAAGCCTCATAACTTTTACTATTTGTTTATAAAATGGAATATGAATAATTTTCACACTTGTCACATGAAATTCATTCTTTCATGTAATAAAAATTAACATGCAACATATTTACTTACATTTTTTTCATTAAAAATGATAGTTATGTTTAAAAAGTAGCTAACTGGTATGCTCGAACAACACATCTCTAATAAATTTTAAGTAGGAGGAAACATTAAAAAGCAAATAATTCCTGGGGCCAGCCTGGTGGCGTAGCTGTTAAGTATGCACGTTCCACTGCAATGGCGCAGGGTTCAGATCCTGGTGCGCACCAACTCACTGCTTGTTAAGCCATGCTGTGGCAGCATCTCATATAAAGTAGAGGAAGATGGGCATGGATGTTAGCTCAGGGCTAATCTTCCTCACAAAAGGGAAAAAAAGCAAATAATTCCTAATTTTACAAATGAGGAACTAAATATCATAGACTTTTTCAAAAACACACGGCTAGGTTGCTTCTAGGTTTTCTGAATCTTTCCATTATACTCAACTGTATCTCTAATATGTTTATAAAAACTAACGCATTATGAATACCTTCTGACAAAATTAGAAATGGATATATATGAATATATATGTGTATTTTTCTCTCTTCTTTTTTTTTGTGAGGAAGATCAGCCCTGTGCTAACATCTGCCAATCCTCTTCATTTTTTGCTGAGGAAGACTGGCCCTGGGCTAACATCCGTGCCCATCTTCCTCTACTTTATACGGGACACCGCCACAGCATGGCCTGCCAAGCGGTGCATCGGTGAACACCCGGGGATCCGAACCGGTGAACCCTGGGCCGCCGCAGCGGAGCTTGCGCACTTAACTGCCTGTGCCACCAGGAAGGCCCCCTATATTTTTCTCGTTTAATCTATTATTGATAGTTCATTTCTAAAATTCGATGTTGAAATTCACATGTGAAAACAACACTGAAGACAAAATAAATACTCTCAATAAATCAAGCAAGCATCACAAGTATAATGAAATATTTTGTAATTAAATAATCTCAGGAATATTGTTTAAGCTAGCCAGTTTTATGTATTGTTATTGGCAATTTAATAGTTTAATAACAGTTTATTTGTGCATATCACCTTGGGATGTAACTCACTCAGCTTCTATAAAATTTGCACCCCTGTATCTCTGTATGTTATTCCAATATTTTGCATGATAATTTTTATTGGTTGTTAACATTATTTTTCTTATCCAATTGTAAAAAAAAAAATGCCACTGAACTTAATTGATCTTGATGATGTAGGATTTTCCAGCTGCTTTACTTGTGTATAGTTATTATATGGTGTTGTAGACAGAATAATGGCCCCCAATGATGTCCACATCCTAATCCTTGAAACCTGCAAATATGTTACCTTTCATGGAAAAACAGACTTTGCAGACATAAGTAAGTTAAAGAACTTGAGATGGAGAGAGCTCAGTATCTTGAACTATCGTTGTGGTGATGTGCCCAATGTAATCACAAGGGTCCTCATAAGAGGGAGGCAGGAGTGTCAGAATCAAAGTAGGAGATAAGACAGCAGAAGCAGAGGTTGGAGTGATTTGAAGAAGGAGCCATGAGCCAAGAAATGCAGATGGCTTCTAGAAGCTGTAAAAGGCAAACAGACAGATTTTTTTCCTAGGACCTCCGGAAGGAACCTTGATTTGACACCTTGATTTCAGGACTTTTGACCTCTAGAACTGTAAGATCATAAGTTTGTGTTGTTTTAAGTAATTGGGTTTGTGGTCATTTGTTACAGTAGCAGTAGACAACTAATATACAGAACAAAATGTACAGCCATATTTAAGGAAGGGTATGATTTCTCATGACCTGAAGGCATTCTGTGCCGTGTTTAAAACCAAGATTCTGTGCAACACCAAAAGTGAACTACAATGTAAACTAGACCTCGAGTGATTATGTTGTGTCAACATAGGTTCATCAGTTGTAACGAATGTACCACTCTCATCAGTGATGTTGATAAGAGAAGAGGCTATTGCCTGTGTGGGGCAATGAGTATATGGAAATCTCCGTACCTTCCCCTCAATTTTGCTGTGAAACCTAAAGCTGCTCTAAAATAATAAATTTCTACCCCGAATAGCCAAAACAGTCTTGAGAAAGAACAAAGTTGAAGGCTCCATGCTCTCTGATTTCAAACTATATTACAAAGCTATAGTAATCAAAACAGTATGGTATTGGCATAAAAACAGACACATAGATCAATGGAACAGACTAGAGAGCCCAGAAATAAACCCACACATATATGGTCAGTTAATTTACGACAAAGGATCCAAGAATATACACTGGAGAAATGATACTCTCTTCAATAAAAGGTATTGAGAAAACTGGACAGCCATATGCAAAAGATTGAAACTGGACCACTATCTTACACCATACACAAAAATTAACTCAAAATAAATGAAAGATTTGAACATAAGAACTGAAACCATAAAACTCCTAGAAGAAAACATAGGCGATAAGCTCCTTGACATCAGTCTTGGTGATGATATTTTGGATTTGACACCAAAAGCAATGGCAACAAAAGCAAAATCTGACAAGTGGAATCACCACAAACTAAGAAGCTTCTGCATAGCAGAGGAAATCATCAACAAAATGAAAAGTGAACCTACTGAATGGGAGAAAATATTTGCATATCATATATCTGATAAGTGGCTAATATCTAAAATATATAAAGAACCCACAAAATTCAATAGCAAAAAACCAAACAATCCAATTAAAAAATGGGCAGAGGATCTGAATAGACATTTTTCCAAAGAATAATACAGAGGGCCAATAGGTGCATCAAAAGGTGCTCAACATCACTTTATCAGGGAAATGAAAATCAAAACCACAATGAGATATCACCTCACACTTTTTAGAATGCCTATTAGCAAACAGACAAGAAACAGCGAGAGTTGGTGAGAATGTGGAGAAAAGGGAACCCTTGTGCACTGTTAGTGGGAATGTAAATTGGTGCAGCCACTACGGAAAACAGCAGGGAGGTTCCTCGAAAAACTAAAAGTAGAACTATCATATGATCCAGCAAATTCCCTTCTGGGTATTTTATCCAAAGGACATGAAATCACTGTCTCAAAAAAATATCTGTAACCCCATGTTCATTGCAACATTATTTACAATAGCCAAAATATGGAAGCAAGCTAAGTATCCATCAATGGATGGATGGATTAAAAAAATGTAATAACACACACACACACACTGCAATATTATTCAGCCATAAAAAAGGAAAATTTTGCCACTTGTGACAACATGGATGGACTTTGACGGCATTGTGCTAAGTGAAACAAGTCAAGCAGAGAAAGACATATACTGTGTGATCTCACTTATATTCGGAATCTAAAAAAAAAAATAAAACAAGCTCATGGATACAGAGAACAGATTAGCGGTTGCCAGAAGTGGGGGATTTGGGGGTGGGTGAAATGGGTGAAGGGAGTGAAAAAGTACAAACTTTCAGCTATAAAATAAATAAGTCCTGGAGTAACAGTATGGTGTACAGTATACACAGTATGGTGACTACAGTTAATAGTACTGTATTATATATGTGACAGTTGCTAAGAGAGTAGATCTTAAAAGTTCTGATTACAAGAAAAAAATGCTGTAATTATGTGCGATGATGAATATCAACTAGACTTATTGTGGTGATCACTTCACAATATATACAAATATCAAATCATTATGCTGCACACCTGAAACTAATATAATGTTATATGTCAGTTATATGTCAATTATATCTCAGTTAAAAAAATAAAGTAAAATTATACTATCAAAAAAGAAAATAAAGTCCTTGTAAAACAAACCAATAAAGAAATAAAACAAAAAAACCTAGTTTCTGACTATAAATTATGAGTTAATAATCAAATGACAGGGGAAAGGAAGAAGGTCAAGGAGCAAAATATTTCAAGTTGCTGTAGGATGTGTAACAAAGTATAACTAGTAACTACAAACTATAACTATAACTGTGTAAGCCTAGTTTTGAATCATTTGGCAGTTTGACTTCAAGATGCTTTGACAATAGCTTTCATGTTGGTCATCAGTATGACAATATGTGCGGCATAGACCAACCTCATTTTGGATAGACTAAGTATTGTTCGAAGATCTGTTATTATATCAATAGTTAACTTGGGTTTCTGAAAGCTATGTTGAGACACCCTGAATTTTGATTATTGTTCCTTAGGAAATATCTTTATATAGAGCCTACTAAAAAGAAATACTTTCAGAATTGTTTTTATTTTCTAGAAGAAAAAATACTCACCAGAGCATGTGGGCAAATGGGACCAGCATCTTCACCACATACTGTGGAAGCCGCAGTGCGTCCATCTCTGCTTTATATCCACTGCGGCTCAGAGTCCAACTTGTCGTTGAGTCTAAGCCACGTGCCCTTACCTTTGTTTCTGACACTCACTAATACTGACATATCACAAGATTCTAAGGCATTTTTCAAAATCAGTGTTTTATTTCTCATGTTATCCCAAGCACACAATAAGCAGACAAAAACCTTTAGCAATCGTTATGTACTAATGAATCAATTACCTTTTAGAAAATATCATTACTAGTATTTAATAAAAATTGATTTTA